TGAAGGGTCAATCCACACGCGCGTATAACGGCACATTCGGCCGAGGGTTGACCTGGCGGGAATTTCCGACGCGTCACCGAAGGACAGCGAAGATTCCACGCACCCGCAGGTAAGGCCCCACTCCTTCCAAGGAAAAGCGCGCTAAGGGCGCAAGGGAAGGGTGGGTGACACCTAAGAGGCACTATTACTGAAGGGTCAATCCACACGCGCGTATAACGGCACTTTCGGCCGAGGGTTGACCTGGCGGGAATTTCCAACGCGTCATCGAAGGACAGCGAAGATTCCACGCACCCGCAGGTAAGGCCCCACTCCTTCCAAGGAAAAGCGCGCTAAGGGCGCAAGGGAAGGGTGGGTGACACCTAAGGGGCACGTTGATTGGTAATTTCTGCGTACGTGAAAAACCAATTAGCGTGCCTTCTTGCACTTGGCGGGGGAGTCACTGCGAACTCCAGAAAAATTCGGGGATCGAAAAATTCATTCGCAAGGTTTCTCTCGTGTGAACAACACACTCTCCAGCCTTTCGAGGAGACACATGTACACTTCGAGTCGCGATCGAATACTCGAGTCTTAAAACAAGTCGTCAATCGTTTCGTGACGCACTCTACGTTTTGCTAACGTTCCGAGCAAGACAAAATTTCGAATTAGTTACCTAAGATTAAACTGGCGGGTAACAGTTGTGGACGCGAGCATTTTGAACAATCAAAAGAGAACGCGACGCGACATCCACTATATTACATATTTTCATTCATTTACTTTTTATTATAGGGCCACTCAGGCAGACGTTTTACGAGCAGAGTTCTCGCTGTTGCTCGCGAACACTGCTACGAGCAAAGCTACGAGCAAGTCGTGAATGAAGTGAGAAACAACGGTAATAGTGAGAGTGTAGACTCGTATTAGATAGGCATGTGTTGATATGTTCGTGAGGTGTTTCGTACCATCGCGATGCATTGGTTACTTTTTCCAGAACATACAATCGGTATTGCTTTTTCAGTCCGAGCGATCACTAGGGCAATTTAGTAAATTCATATAGTGGCCCACCAAAAGATCGTTGCTCCAGTAAGCGCGGCTTACTGTTCGAATATCGCTCCGTACTCCAGTTTGTCTGACCACTTCACATAGAGCATCTCCGAAATCGGTAGAACCTACTGTAACCCAACCGAAAATCGATTTTTACTAAATTCAGGTACCCAAAACAACAATTATTTCTAAAAATCTAATTCAAGAAATCATAAAAAAATATTGTCTTATCATTCATATTGATTAATTGTAAACAAAAACACTTAAGCCGGGAAAATAAGTGTTATTCTATAACTCTCTTGTATTAAGGGTATACTCGCTCAAGTGTGCGAGAGATGGGCAGTTTTTAAAAATTCTTTTCATAACTTGTTTCATTTTTCCTACTAAAAGGTCGACATAATTCATCGGTTTATTCATACGTCACTAACATTTTCATGTGGTTACATTAAACAGTGAGAAATATTTACCGAGATAGATGTATTAATATGCGGACATAGCCAAAAATTCTTCATTCTTGACATGATTACGTTCGTTGTAATCATTAGAAATAAGAATAACTACGTTTATTTTAATCCGTGAACTTGCCTCTATATGCACTACCTCAATCATTCATTGAAATCGAAGAGAAATAAAAACGGTCAATTGAAGGAAAAAATTTCATTTTAAACAAAATTTTTTTAGTTTAACCTGTTGTAAGACGGGGAAATGTTTATATTTTTATAATTTTAGTAGGGTCGATAAAGAGAGGTAAAGACATATGTATAATTTGTAGTTAATAGTTATATTAGTTTCTAAAAAATCATGTCAACTAATTTGAAAAACATAGTTTCAAGAAAAACGCGTTTAAAGTTTTTCATGCAATTTACACATATGCTATCTGCACGTTTGACTTCAGTATGTAACTTCATAAATATTCCGAAATTTTCAAAACTTCTATCAGTAGAAAACTTTAAAACCTTCAGGTTAACAGAAAATAGAAAAAAAAATCGGTTTCTTCTTAGACGCAATAGTATTATAAAATCATGTTTCAAATTCTCAGTCTTCCAAATTAATCAACTTTAACTCTGAAAAGGAAACACTTAAACAAACGTATACAACTAAAACTCTTCGAATACGGAATATTCAAGGGCGAAACATTTTCCGATAAGAAATTTCCCGCGAATCGAGGTAACGGCAATTATCGTTAATCGGAAGTCCCAATCGCGAGCGACGCTCGTCAGGCATTCATCGGCCAGATTTACGTCGCCCCCTTCTTCTTCGTTTCTTCGTTCGAAGCGAGTCCGTTGCCAGATCTAAAACCGTCGTACCGACAATGACGTAGAATCTGAGTAAATCGCATCCGTTGTCCGCTGATTTTGCATTAAACGCCGCCCGACTAATCTTTCTTATTCCGCGTATAGCAGCGTACCGCTTCGTCGCGTCGATTTAATTTCGCGCCTGAAACTTCTCCTTTGTCTTTAAAAGCTCGACTATCCTCGATGGGATCGTCAATGGGAAGTCGCTTTGTCGCTGGGCCTGCTCCGCCGCCGCGTTTCAAACAAGAAAAGAAAGAAGCTACGGGAGTTTTGATGAATCGCCTGAAATACTTTACCGGCGGATACCGAACTGTTCGTTTCTATTTTCGCGTTCGCGCTCACGGTGTTGAGGCAAATCGTTACGTTACGAACAGGCAACGTTTGTTGAAAAAAAAAAAAAAAAAAAAACAGTTTCTTGTTCCGTTCGCACGCGTCGATTATACGCTGCTGTAAATTTTCTTCATGGTCTGTAAACGCAGGGGGAAAGTAAGATATCTTTATGGTGTTGATTTTCCGGGTGTTGAATTAAAAAAAGAAAAAATATAATCCTCTGGTCTGTTTAACGATAATTAATGATTTCATGACGCGGATAATTTTTTGACGAAATATCGAATATTTGTGAAGATTAAATACTTCGTGATTGAATTAAGGAAAATAAGATTTCTTCGTTTTTTGACAAAAAGCGTAATTTCGAAGAGAAATTCGAAATTTTTGGAGAAATTAAGTTGTACATACTTGTGCGTAAAAAAATAATTAATCCTAGGAAGCTCAAAATTTAGAAAGTTCAATTTAAATTTACAATCATTAAATACAATTACTTTCCGACAAAAACAGATTATTTTGTGAAAAAAACCAAACTGAAGTTTAAAATTTTGTAGACGTTATTTATCCTCCCTCAGGCTTCCTAAAGTTAAACTGAACGTATAAGGGCAGAAGAAGATCGAAAATAGAAACTTCCTCAGTTATGGAAATTTTAATTCTTGTATAATTTTATTTAAATTCCCTGTTTGAAGTGACTGTTGAATTCCTCCTAAATCTGGATGAAATCTGCATTAGAGTACCTGGTATAAATATTAAATTTGAATATGGTTTAAGTTAATTGTCAAATTGGAATGAAGTTTAAATTAAATATTATTTTCCGATTAGTTTCAGACCAGGAATTAAAAATGGAGCATGTGTTAGTTAACTCTAGTTTACGTTTCGTTTAGAATCGAAGTTTACGCTTTCCTTGCCTCGCCGATTTTATGTGTTAGCCTCGGGTAAACTGAGTTAGGTTTGAATCGTATCATCACGTGCAATGAAACCTCGGATCGTTCCAAATATTATCAAATAACGGTAGAAATTTATAGAATCTCGAATAACCTAACTGTCGCATTAAATTCTAGAACGTGGAAACCTTTCAAATAGCAATATTAACATGTAATAAAATAACACAATTACAGGTATATTGAAAATCTCTTTTTCTATAAAAATCTTTACAAATGAACATAGTAGATCAACCGCATTAATGTTAATAAGACATTCCAACACCTCAGTATTCGTAACCTTTTTCCAAAGTCCCTGGATATTTGTACTAGATATTGTTTAAATATTTGCATTACTGAAATTCCGGAAAAGCTTCCAAGTGAAAAATTGGTCTCTTATCAAAACTGTGTTTAATTTTCTCTAAAAAAAAAAATGCATAAATCGTTTTCTGATGAAATTGGCTGATTCACTTCATTTTATGCCAATTAGCTTTATCGCGTGCATTAACGTGATACTTCCATAAACTGTCGACTTCGAATAGCAGTTCTATTCATTTCACTCTATTTCATTAAACTTTTTGCTAAATATCACAAGAAAGGTTGTTACATCGATGATTATTTCCTAAAATTAAAAAATCACACCAATCCAACGTATGAATTTCACAACTGTTTAATTTACGGTGCCTGATCCACCCACGTTCGACAATATGTTCCATCGAAATTTATTACGTAACTAATAAACAAAGTTTGTTAATCATACGTAAAATTACTTGGCCGACTCTAAGCTCGCAATTGCAATTTCATTATGAAAATTACGAATGCATAAGGAGTACTTTTAAAAAAAAACTTTAATCTTAGAAATTTACAAATCTAATTACGGTATTCGTGTAAAATTTTCGTGGTAATCACCCGTGGAGAGGGCAAGTTGACAGGTGCTAACGAAAGCTCGGAATCCTGCTCACGCGTACACTTTATTCATTGTTGGTGGTGCCGCGGGCATCATGCCCGATCCTCACCGCGACCGAATAAAGTTACGCGCCAAATAAAGTTGGTAAATCCCACCGAAATCCGCGGATCGAAATAAGTCCGCTTATCCTTGACGAATATCAGAATGAACCGAGTTTCTCGAGCGACCGTCGACGAACAGAAGTCTCTCTGAATTTATTTTTGGCGTGCACGTATCGTACTCTCGGTAAAACCGCCTTAAATCTCGGTACGTCGCTTTTCGGATTCTACGACTGATTATCCGTTTATCGATGCACCCATTTCATTGCATTAACCACAAAAGCTAGAGTGCACTAAAATTTGAGATTTGAGGCAGTCGTGAAAGAGAGAAAGAGGGAGAACACGACGAAACGTTTGTAATAAACGCCCACGTAGGGGCGCCAGCGACGAACCTTAGTTACCGTAATCGCACGTGTCACCTATACGTGTCGTCACTTACTTCTTGGATCTTGTAGCTAGTCCGGATGGTTTTGCGCTTGGTGGTGGTGACCTCGTAACTCTCCTCGACGGTGGGTGCCTTATCGTCCTCATTGTTGTTGTTGTTGTTATTACCGCTGTTCAAGACACCCTCGTCATTCCCCGACGAGGCGTCAGGACCGAGGACGTCCGTGGCATCCATCCCCGCGTTCTCTGTATCAGCTTCCAGGTTGAACGATCGTGTCAACGAACGGTCCGTTCGAGGGAAATTCGAAACGTGATATCGATACTTTGATTGTTTTTCGATTCACACGCGGGTGTCGTGAGACAGGGGGTTATGTACGCCGGGCGTCGTGGAATTCACGAACGAACACGCCCGAAACAACTGCGAATTGGCCCGTGCACCGACCGCACGAAAAACTTCGACGAGCAACCGACGAAACTATTCCGGGATCGGCGAAGTTCTGCACGAAGCGGAGAGACTGGCCGTACTAAAGCACCGCGGTTCGAGAAACCCGCCGCGAACGCGTTCTCGCGCGTCTTTCAACGGCGAAAATAGATCGTCAAGTTTTCCTGAAGGAACTGCACGCGTCGTGCCTCAGCTAGTGTCGAACTCGTCGTTCACCGCAACGATAAACACTCGACACGAATCGTATTCGATAGGAACCACCGCCTGTTTCGGTACTGGACTACACCCGGTGTTTCCTTTCAAAATCGTGTATGACGGCGACTGCGAGAAAACCGAGCCACGAAGCCGCACAACTGCCATCAGTGAGGCTTATCGATTATGACAAAAATCGATTCTTACGATATACCATGGCTTCCTTTCATGGTGTAACTTACCTATTTCACTCATATTGGATACGTACTTATATCTGTAAGAAATATTCATTTTCTTTGGAAAATGAATAAATTTGTGAACAATTAATAGAGCGCAAATGATGAAGTAAAATTATTCATGCGATTTATGGCGCGATGTTTTAAAATTTCGTTTCATTCAAAGATAATTTTAAAATTCATTTTTAAATATACTTTGTTTTCCACATTCTGTACGTAAAGTCTTTAAATACATTTACGCGTGTGATAAAGAACCATTTTGTGATAAAATTAAATTGTTTACGCGTTGGAAAAACGAAAGTTACCCATCGTGTGTTCTAGGTGTCAAATTTTAGATGTGCACGCCATCTGATAGAATGCGGGTTAACTAAAAGTATAGGAGTACATGATTAAAAAGTTCCATTATTTTGTATCTCTTAATCACGATCTGTAGGATCAATGATATTTTATTTTTCTTTTAATACCAATACAACTATTCGTTCGAGATATTCGTCACTATAAATATATTTGTAAAAATCACAGCGAAGTTAATAAGGCATTTTCAAACGCAAACATGTATATCCACGGTACATTTTGCTGCGTTCATCAGGCTTAACGTGTTCAAATAAGCGTAATCTGCCAACAATTTTATTGTAACACGAAGTTTTTAAATAAACAAGGCGTGGCAACAATTTCTCGTAACATCGAAATCACCGATTAACTCGTTCGTATAAATGCATCCAGAAGCTTCTTAGCCCGTAATCGATCAATAATTTATGAGTTTTCATAATTCTTCAATTGTATCAGGTTCTCGGGTCTGTACACCCCAACTTCCGTAATGATGCCTTTAATAAGACTAGCTGGGGTTACATCAAAAGCTGGATTCCAGCATTGTATTCCATGCGCGGCGACTCGTTGGTCATTTATATGTGTCAGTTCCCTTTCTGGCCTTTCTTCGATAACAATATGATCACCACTAGGGATACTGAAGTCTATAGAGGTTCGTGGAGCCGCCACATAGAAAGGAACATTGTGGTACTTAGCGACTATGGCAATCTGAAATTTTTATAATAAAAGTGGTTACATGTAACGAATATATTAGAGACTTCAAGAGATATAACTGTCGCATGTATTACTTGATAGGTTCCAATTTTGTTAGCCGTATCACCATTCGCGGCAACCCTATCTGCACCAACTACCACTGCAGAGATATTCCTTGATTTCATTAGTGCTGCTACCATGCCGTCGCAAATGAGGGTAGCGGGAATTTTTTCATATACTAATTCGTATGCAGTCAGTCTTGCTCCTTGATTGTATGGTCTAGTTTCAGAACAATATGCCTGTTCTGTAAGTATAATTAGTACTGCATAACTTTATCACATCTTGTCTAATGTGTCAAAACTAGAGACATGCAAACGTTACCAAGACTATTTTTCTTATGAAGGGATCTAATAACACCTAAAGCTGTGCCATAACCTGCTGTTGCAAGGCTGCCAGTGTTACAGTGCGTCAAAATCCTGACAAAATTATCTCCAGACACATTCTTCAATATCTCCTGTGCTCCAAAGTCACCAATAGCTTTGTTATCGGCAATATCCTTCTCCAGCATGGCTTCTATGGCTTCAATAAATCTACAAACATTATCGTTCATAGTATCGACATTAAAACTAAATTTATTTGCTCACATTAAACCAATCTTTGTACCTTTCTTTCATTTCCGTTACATTAACAGTCTCATCTTTACTAAGTTTATTAGCCAACTGTATTAATTCATCTGCTGCGATTTTCATATTAACAGCAGTTGGACGAGCAGAGACCAAGTAATTCAATTTGCCCTCTACATCCCGGCGTAGGCTCTTCTTATCCATATATTCCTCATTCTTAATCTCTGTCGCCAAACTTAGACAGCCCACAATGGCTATAGCTGGTGCACCTCGAACCTGTGAAAATCACAGAAAATCAAACTACAAGAAATACAACTGCAGCATCAATTCACTCCACTAAAACGGTGAAACCATTTCGCACACGACGAGCAATTTAAATCAACTAATTCCTCCAATTAAAATTCCGTTCGCGCGAATCACTTCAAATTGCTGCAGTTTCCTTTACTGCGATTTAACTACTTTAACGTTCCACTTCTTATTGTTCGCCAATCGGCACGTCCGGGCGCGATTTCTCTCGCAATTCTACCCGTATGCAGTCGACGTTGACACGAACAAAATTGACCGTGATAGAAATGAAATTTTACCATTCTATTCACCCATTTAGAAACATACCTGCATGCTATTGATGACCTTCCAGCCATCCTCCACGCCTTTGACAGGGATGTATCGTGAGATCGCCGGCAACAGTATCTGATCGAGTATCTCCAGCTTGCCGTTTTCCCATTTAATCGCTTGCAGCGTCATTTCGATCCGTCAAAGGCGAACACGTGTCCTGTATAGCACTGGCTGGCAAAATACGTGCAGATTCGAGACGCGGCTAGCAGAACCGCGGCTTCGTAGTTTCTGAATGAAACGAAATCCCGTTCATTTGAAGCTCACGTGCACTTCGAACGGCCGTGACTCGAGGCCTATCGTAACGACGTATCGTGAATCTATCACGTGTACATACGTAGCTTGCATCTATGTATGAATTAGCCCTGATCAGCGCCATCTGTTGACCGAACGTGCAACTAAACACCCTCTTAGACGGAAGTCCTGTTGCGCGAATCGTTCAAATTATTTCGCGTTCACGGCAGTTCTGCGAAAAATTCGCAACCGGGCGCGGAATCTCCAAGATATTCAGGGAATGTCTAATAATGCCAAACAAAATTCCAGAATAAGCGAGCCGCGTTCTTCGCGCATTTCATTAACTGGCCTTTGATACTGATAATAAAACAGGCGACGCGTCTTGCCTCGCTCATTTCAACGCGTTTTGAGTAACTTCTCTCTTGGACGAGTAAACACAGTATCGCTATATAGATATACAAATTCTTGGGAAGAAAATGATTTGTTTTTCAAATAAATGTCAAATTTTCACAGTTATTTCTCGAGAGGAAATTCATATCTAGTGAACTTTATAAAATCAATTTACTTGATAATCATAATTACAAAGTAGCTTTAAGTGCTTACATTCAGGAAAAACAAAGAAACAAAATGAACGGAGTGCTATGTAATGTTCAAAACTTTGATGTACAAAAAGGAGCACTTAAAAGTTCTTCTATCAGCTGATTAGCATTTCAGGCGATTCCTGTTCATAAATCTTTGCCATCTCTAGCCTTTCACCACTGTACCGGGGCTGTGTACAAAAATTACAGTCGATGGAAGTTCAGCTTTCAATCAATATACCGAAAGACACCTCTTCTCGTCCCTTCTCGATAATCAATTTTCCCACGTTTACATGAAAAACAGTGTTCGAAACTTCTAACATGCACTCGTTTCAAACTTAAACGATCTTTATCATATCTCGAACAACTTTCAGCAAATCAGAAGCCCACACCAAAACTCGTGCTTATCATATCGTAACATAAACATGTGCAAATAATTCTTCTTGTAGTTATATCTTCTACGTACATTGCAAGATAAATGTAGCACACCGTGTCGACGATAACGATGAAAATCACATTACAAACAATTTCTGTTGTTTTTCACGAATCAGCTACGTATCAGAAATTTCAAGGAAAATTATGAAATATTTACTTCAACAAAATGCAATAAAGTTTAATTAAACATTAATCTTTCTGTTGCGATAATTTACTTCTCCATTACTCTTGTGTTGCTCATAGTATGTATTGCAAGATTTTTGTTCAGATTTTTTTCATACATTTTCAAGAAAACATTTGAATATATAGGTACTATACATCTTATTCAATCATAATTTAATATATTTTATTATTCTTCTTACCTACTACCGTGGAAATGATTAAAAATTTCTGCAAAACTTTAAAACAAAGTTACAGTAGAGTATTAAATAATGCCGGTGATTACAAAAGTGATTTAAGTCAAAAATCTTTTCCGATACACCCAAAGAAAAATGCCCAAGTATCTCGAAACGAAAAATATATAACTTAGGCCATTTTCATAATCACCGACAAAATAATACAGAAACAACGATAATACTGAATTCTTGATACTTTTTTTACTCTAACAATGAATCAAAGAATAGCTTCGTTTGCTGAATAATGGTACTTTTCCCTCTCATGGCTATCGTGGCCTAAATTTGCCCCATCCTACTAAATCAAATTTCCAATATTCGAATGAACACAAAAAACGTGTTATGAATAACAATTGGTGAAAGCCGCGAGAACGTTTTCCAGCGTCGCGAAACTTAAGCTGCACGCGCTTCGGTACAAAGAAAATCGCTCTTATTCCCGACGCAATTTGTGGCTTTGATCCTTTACATGATTCGAGACGGTTGCGTGTTCGCTCGTGACCGAATGCTCACAGCATATTTCAAGTGCAAACTATCCCATTTACTTGCCGCGTTCAAAAAAAAAAACCTTTGCATTTTAAAATAGACTGCACTTTTCGCCCAGCCTCGCTACGGTAATGTCGCCAGGTGAATTTCGATTGTTTCCGCGTGGTTTTTCGCGAACGTTCTTCACTGACGACGGAATCAAACATATCGCGGAGGTAGAAAGAACTTCAGGTCCCATAGAATTCCGCACGGATACTTGGGGAACCGATGAAGATTCAAGAGAACGAGACGTGTTCGAATTTTGTACAGTTATCGAATCAACTTACGAGCAACCCAAGTATTTTTCGGGAAGGAGACGATTAATTTCAAGTTATTCATCATTGATACCCGTGGGCCACGGCCACATAAAAGTGTGACAAGTGATTTTCTTGTAACGTTTTAAGACTAAATGGTTCTTTTTTTTTTTACAAAACATAAGAGATAAAGCTATCGTCTCTCCCAGTAGGTTAATTTCAACATGCTCCCTACTATTTTCTATGAAACATAAATTTTCGCAAATTTCGACTGCTCTTTTTCAGACAAATAATATTTATTCAAACCATTTTTTCTTTTTGGTGTTTTCGATTTTCACGACACCGTAAACATTTATTGTATATTGTTACTAAAAACGAAAAAATGTGTTACACTTTATGTAATTAGATCAGTCGTTTATTCCTCGTTATTTAGTGTAAAATATAGCACTACTGGCCGTTTCAGTGATAACTTAGGGTCACGTGTTTACACTTTCCTCGTCACTGTATACCTAATAAAAAACATTTCAGGAGTATTATTTAATGAAAAATTATGAAATTAAAAAGTAAATGTAAGGCGTTGTGCGACGCGCCTAGGCAACGACCGCGGGACCCGAGCCGCAGGGGCCCTAGACTTGCAGGGCCCTAACGGCCGAAGAAGCGTATAAAAACGGGAAAAAGGGCAGCGGCCCACACATTATCGTACCGAACCATCGACCAGCGAACCAACAGCATTTTAATATCCGACGTTTTAAGCCCTTGTAATTCTTTTCTCTCACATAAATGAGTTTTTCTCGTAAAACCTGTGTTCATACTCTGTTTTACGATGTATGTAATGTGATTCACGTGTCGATTCTTGCTTACACTTTCAGAATTTCAGGTATAGTTTTAATCTGTATAATTACACTGGATAAATGGGTTAAATAAATGGTGTTCACTGTTAACTTACTTGGCGCGGAAGGACGTCTTAACGCTTAGAAAATCGCAGTCGAAGCGAAAGTGAAAAACTCGTAAGGGCACGACAGAAAGTCTGTTGTCCACTTGAGAAATAGAGACCAGGACTGCCTCAGCCTTTTACCCAGGTCTCTTAGGTATAAACAGTTACAGGTCTATGGGTCTGGTGACATCTGGTCTATTACATTATTTTCACCAGCAATGTTTCTCATATACAGGGTGTCCGGTAACGCTGGGATCACCCGGAAATGGGGGGTTGCTGGGGTGACCCTGAACAACTTTTTCCTTATCCAAAATGTAGTTTGAAGCTTCGTTTTCGAGTTATTAACGAAGAACACTGGCAAATCACAGCGCTCAGGGACGGACGACCCGACAGTAACATCAGCTGTTTCGGATTACCTGGAAAGGTCGGGATCGACACACTGACCCAGTGTCAACGACCCACTTCCGTCGAAGCAGGTTCATTCGTGGATGAATGGGTAGGTTTTTCATAAGTAATAAAACACTTTATTCCCTTCGGATAACGAATAAAAGTATCGAACACAGTTATTAAACGACTTATTTGTTATTCATGAAAAAAAAAATACGTTTTGTAGATCAATGTCAATGACACACACGCTGAAAATTTCATCGAAATCGGTTAATGTTTCTATGAGCTACAAACGGTTAAAGATTGTGAAAATCGCAGTATCACGACTTTTGGCGTAAAACTGTAATTAATCTGCAGATTCTTACATCTTTCGATGCTTGTCGCTTGTTTCTCCATCCAGCGATTTCGATGTAACACAATTCATTTTTGCTTACTGACTGACGCATTATTATTAGTAATAATCCAACAGGTTAAATGTGGAAATTGGCAAAAACATCAGGTCTTCCATTGTTTGCACAATTACAAAAAGTTATCAGATAAGTGTGTATTGCGTATTTAATTGATTCAACGTGATTGCAGAGTGATACAATCTGATGTCTACGCGTCATTATTGTTACGATAAGATATTGCACAATATAAGAAGCAACGTTATCAAAGATTAATTTATTCATGACAGAATTAAAAAACTTATAAACTCGCATATTTCGGGCATGAGCATTCAAATTCAAGGTCACCTTAAGATTATCAAAGTGCGGGTCGTTAAATTCGTCTTTTTATTGGTATCATCGAAAGAAACATGAAAAGAAATATTAGATTACGCTTGAAACGATAAAAATTACGTTAAATTCTCAGTAACTATCATTTTAGGGAGGACAATAGTGTAAAAATTTGATATTTATCGCATCCAAATTATAGAAGCTACGCGATACGTGTTATCGAGTAGAAACTATTTTCCTCGGTATACTATTTTATAATCTAAAAAATAAAAAAATACTAAAGTTACAATGTGTTTATTTATTTTCTATCTAATTTGCCAAAATAAATAAAACTTAATTGATTATCTAAACGTTATAAATGCTAAAAAAGAAATTTCTATTGTCACTTCGTAAGAATGTTTTGTTTAAAAAAAGAAGAAGTGTCAATGCACAATAGAGAGAGGATAACAATCGACACGAAACGAATTTGAAAATCGCCATAGATACAATAGAATGTCACATTCGAGTTGATCGAATTTTTGACTGGCACGCATGAGACACATGTTCGAGGGTTGTCACGATGAAGGATAGGATCGTTTCCATTAATCAACGTAGCTTGTGTCCCTGCTAATTTTTGGTGAAAAATTTCGACTGTATACAGCGTGACTCGTCAATGATTGATTTGCCTGGTTGTACGAGAAATAATTAATAATATAAGCCGTGAATAGTGAATGTTCTCGTAACACGAATTACTCTGAAACCATATTATCCAACGTAACGAGCGAAACAGTCTAATCATCAAGTGATAAAAAAAAAGTCGATATACATATTCGTTTCTATACAGAACTCACTTCTCATCTGATAC